CATATCACTGTTGGTCAGATATTCTTGTTTTGAAAATCTGTAACATGTATTGTTGCATGTTACCCTGTTTCTGTCTTTGCTTTTCTTTTACTTGCTCTTGTTTTTCATTTTTGTTTTTGTTTTTGTTTATTTTAGTAAGGGTCTACAGGTTCTACAGGGTCTCACTACATAGATCTGACTCGTAGTGATCCGTCTGTGTTCAGCCTGCCAAGAGCTGGGATTACAGGAGCATGCCACCATGCCCAGTCTCAATTTCTATCTCAACGTGTCCCAGGGACAGGTCCAGGATGGCATGCTGGGGATCAAACTCCAGCCACTGCATCTGCCTAAGCAGGCACCTTAATCCACTGAGCTATATGGCCGGCCCTGCTCTTGTTTTTACTCTTCAAAATAAAAGAAAATTACATATATATATGAAAACATGAGATGGATTAAAGAACTTGATGTTCTTTAGAAATGCTAGAAAAGACCCTGTCGAAATGAACGGAGTCAAATCTCAGCTTTGTGATTTGCACACATTTCGGCAATAGCACAACAATTAGTGAATGGTCAAGAAACATTAGGTACCACTACTAAATGCTTTACACATACTGCCTTAATCAACTTAACAACCTCATAACTCTATGAAGCAATTCTGTCATATTATTCTCATTGTGCAATGAAGGAAAGTAATGCTTTGAGGGATAAAGCACTGGTACAAACAATGGGTGAGGTAGATCTATCCACCCAAGCAGTGTAATTCCAAATCCCATTTTCTTATACCAGGTTTAACATGTCTGTGTCTCAGTTTCCTTACTTACAAAAAGGGTATGATAACATCAGCATATTCAAAAGTTATTCCTAGTTAAATCCCTAGTGTTCTTTTTGTTTTGTTCCCTCTTCCAAACAGAACCTTACTCATGGTGATCTACCTGAACAGGCATCGCCCATAGGTTGGGACACAGGAATAAGAACCACATAAGTTGATTGGTTTCTATGGCAACCAAGTTGTTGATCTGTCCCAGGGTCATCTCACCCATGGATAAGTTAGATGTAGACAGCCTAAGGATTTTATTGTATATCATGGCCTATAAGAAGAAAAAAATACACATAAAACTAAATTTAACATTAAAATACTTGCTTTCATTAAAAAGTAACAAATGTCTTAAAACTTTTTTAGAATAACCCTTCATGGGCATCTTAAATCAATCACTATTCCTATTTTAGTACAGTTACTCTTTGTCCTCAGTTAAATACAAACTTATTATTTTATTATTTAAAGAAAAAAGCCCAATAATTTCAAAATAAGATAACAGGAGAGTAACAATAATTAATATATTGTATATTA